CCGTCCGAGGAAAATTGTCCGGTGCCGTCCACTCTAGCTGAAGATCTTGCTTCTTGACCGTCGAGGTATGCGTGGCCGTCGACCCTGGGGTTGCACAGTCGATCAGTTTATAAGTGTCGTCGCCAGCTGGGGTAAAAGTACCCACAACATCGTAAGGGGGCTGAAATATACATTGGTCTTTTTTATTTAGTCTTTGTCATTTTTTTAATTGTATTCGTAATGACAGAAGAATTTTTTTTTCAATTTTCAACAACGATCAAAACTACGTGTTGCATGACGTCATCCTAACCTAGTATTTTTCTCTAAAGAGCAACCCAATGGTCAACCACTCTGCCTTTTTATGTGTATTGAATATATAATTTTAGCGTAAATATATATTTGTTTTAGTTTTACTAGAGAATATATTTGAGATCTATAACCTCAAGTGGAAATTTGATATCGTACTGCTTGATATCGGTCTGACCAAGCCTATAGCCAAACCCGGTACTAGTTTGTGCTAGATCACTTCTTTAACCTATTCAAATCATGATCACAAATCCCAATCAACTTGATGTTTGTAGATTGCAATGTGGATGATATACGAGGTGTGTTCAAAAAGTACCCGGAATTACTAATAATTAAATTTCGCGGGTCTGGAGTGTCTGATTGTCAAAATTTTTTTTTTATTGTGTTGGTATACATGCCCCTAAAGTATGATGAAATTTTTCAGCTATATTCACTGTTTACTTTGTCTGTGGTAGTCGCTAAGGTTCGACGTGTTTTTTCGAGCTCGGCGATTTTTACAATGGAAGAATTGAAAAGTCAAAGAATTTGTATTAAATTTTGCGTAAAAATGAAATAAAATGTTGCAAAGTGCAAAAATTCACCAGATATGGCTCCGTGTGACTTTTTCCCATTCCCAAAGTTGAAGAGACCCATGAAGGGACGGCGGTTTTCCTCGATTGAAGAAAATCGCCGAGAGTGCTCAAGGATATATCAAAAAGTGAATATCAAGGGTGCTTCGAAAATTGGAAAAAACGCTGGCATAAGTGTATATATATCTGGGGGGGACTACTTTGAAGGGACCACATTAATGTAGACGAATAAATAAATATTTTTTTGAAAAAACGAAAATTCCGGGTACTTTTTGAACAGACCTCGTATATTTACATTTGTAGGAACGTTATTTTACAACAAGAAATCATTTCAAACGTTTTTCAGCCTTTCACATGTGATCATTACGTATTCTACTCACATTTGTAAGATGTAATAACCCATCATTCAAGATAATCCACAATATTGTAAAATCTACACAAGATAATAGTGCGAGAGTTCGAAGAAAATTTTCTTGATAAGATATGGACTTTTTCTAAAGAGGAATTAGGTTTTTTTTCTTAACAACATATAAAGTTTTCTTGCCAAGAAATTAAGTTTTCTTTAACAAAAAATAAATTTGTGCGTAACAAGAAATTACTTAATCCTTAACAAGAAATTACTTAATCCTTAACAAGAAATAAATCAATACGTAACAAGAAATGAATTTATTTTGAGAAGTGAATTTAACCTCAACAAGAAGTGAATTTTTTTAACTAGAAATTATTTCATCCTTAACAAGAAATAGATTTATGCTGAACAAGAAATAAAATTACCCGTAAGAAGTGAATTTATCCTTAACAAGAAGTGAAATCTCCCTAGCAAGAAGTAAATTCTTCATCAACAAAAACTAAATTCATTCGTGACAAGCAATAAATTTATGCATACAAAGAACTGAAATTATCCATAAGAATCCTTAAGAAGTGAATTTATCCTTAACAAGAAGTGAAATCATCCTCAGCAAGAGGTAGATTTATCCTGAAGAAGAAATAAATTCATCATTAACAAGAAATAAAACTATGCTCAACAAGAAATAAAGTCGTCATTCTGAACCAGATTTTATCCTTTTAACAAGATGTAAATTATCCTTAACTAGAAGTGAAACCATCCTTAACAAGAAATAAATTTATACGTAACAAAAAAGTATTACATCTTCAACAAGAAATTAATTCATGCTTACAAAGAAACGCTATTACTATCAATAATCGTTAATAAGTTAACATTAACAAAAAATTAAATTATTCTTAACAACAAATAAGGTTGTCTTTAACAAGAAATGAAGTTATCCTTAACAATAAATAAAGTTATCCTTTATGAAAAATAAAATCATTATTAATAGTAAAGTTATCCTTGACAAGAAATGAAATTATTCCTAACAGAAAATGAAGTTATACTTTACAAGAAATAAATTTATCCTTAAGAAGAAACGAACTTATTATTAATAGTGAAGTTATCTTTCGCAAGAAATAAAATTATTCTTAACAAGCAATGAAGTTATTCTTAACAAGAAATGAATTCATCCTTAACAAAAATAAAATTATTATTAATAGTAAAGTTATCCTTAACAAGAAATAAATTTATCCTCAACAAGAAACGAAATTATTACGAGTGAAGTTATCTTTCGCAAGTAATAAAATTATTCTTAACAAGAAATGAAGTTATTCTTAACAAAAAACGGAATTATTATTTATAGTGAAGTTATCCTTAGCAAGAAATGAAATTAGTCTTAACAAAAAAGGAATTATCCTTAACAAGAAATAAATTTATCCTCAACAAGAAACGAAATTATCAATACTAAAGTTATCTTTAACAAAAAATGAAATTACCCTTCACAAGAAATGAAGTTATCCTTAACAAGAAATAAATTCATCCTTAACAAGAAAAATTATTAATAGTGAAGTCATCCTTCACAAGAAATAAAAATATTCTTAACAAGGAATGAAGTTATTCTTAACAAAAAATTAATTTATCCTTAACAAGAAACAAAATTATTATGATTTTTAACAAAGAAAGAAAGTTATTTTTAAGAAGAATTAAATTTATATCAAGAAATGAATTCATCTTTAATAAGTAACGAAATTATTATTAATAGTAAAGTTATCCTTAGCAAGAAATGAAATTATTCTTAACAAGAAATGAAGTTATCCTTAACATGAATAAATTTATTCTCAACAAGAAACGAAATTTTTATTAATAGTAAAGTTAAACTTAACAAGAAATGAAATTATTCTTAACAAAAAATGAAATTAGTTTTAAAAAGAAATAAATTGATCCTCTACAATATCCTTAATTTTTTTTTTAATAAATAAATTTTGTCTTAATGAGAAATAAAAAAAGTTGGTAATTTGGTAAGCTGCGTGTTTTATATGTTTTTATTAATGATTTATTCTATGGTAAAAAAATATAAAAACTAATAAGATTGGAAAAGTCTCCCAAAAGCCACAAAACTTCAGTTCATATTTTTGTGATATATAAAATTACAAATAAAATAATTTTATGATTAAATTTATACATCAACTCTGCATTATAAACACAAAAAAAGTAGTTTATAATGATAATCACATTACCAGCATTATAATGCAAAGTTTTCCCTCATTGATTACATACAAACAGATGACTAGTCTCGAAGAAGATGAACAGTACTGGATAATCATTGTTATAATTACAAACTACTTAATAACCAACAAAAAAAAGGATTCTAATCCAACATCCATCTATCAATTTTACTCACCATTACTCTCCTGGCATGAATCATGAATCCCTTAAAAGAAACTCCCTGCGAGCTTCCCAAAACCAGCCTGAGAGGTTGTCCATTTTCGGTTCTCGTAGAATCCAAAAATATTTGAAAGGGTGCTTGAGAATTCTGTGCAGAAATTCCTCCACCATGGAAGGGCATCATTGTATCACAAACTGACTCAGGAGCACCCTGAGGTAAGGGCAGAGCCCTTTGGATGACCAAGAAAAGTAGAAGACAGGCTATGAGGGGCTTCATGGTTGGGGATGGTAATCAACCTAAAAAAGATAAAAAAATGTAGCAAATTGTATGTAGTCATTGTGGAAAAATGTATTTGTTTTAGTATAGTAGAAATACATTTAGTAGATTTATCTCCAGAGTCATCAAACTCTGTTGACCATCAAGAGGCCAGAAATAATTTGCTAATTACGCAATCGACTTTGGCGGAAGTAACTGATCATCTATTGAACCAAATACAGTAATGAGAAACAAGGTTGATGAAAAAAATTGGTATGCTAAAAGCACTCTACAAAGATTTCCATAAACAGATTCTGCAAGTTTTGTACGTGAGAATATTTATATTAATTATATGACACGGGCTACATTGCAAAATAAAGTACCATTTGCTCTATAACATAATTATATAAATAAATTTGAATGTAAGTCTGTATGTTTGTGTGTTTGTTTGTTTGTTTGTATGCCTGTATATCTGTGCAGCCCTAAATTTTCACCCTCTTACCACAAATACGGATTTCGTAAAAATCACTCTAGTAAATGAAATTATCATTAAGAAGTGAATTTATCTTCAACAGAAGTGAAATCATGCTCAGCAAAAAATAAATTTATCCTCAACAAGAAATAGATTCATCATTAACAAGAAATAAATTCATTTCTAACATGAAACGAAACTATTATTAATAGTGAAGTTTTACAAGAAATTCAGTCATTCCTAATAAAAAGTGCATTCATCCTTAACAAGAAATCATCCTTTTAATGTGAATTTAACCTCAACAAGAAGTTAATCCTCCTTAATTTTTATATAAGAAATAAATTTATTCGTAATAAAATTATATCTTTAACAAGAAATAAAATTGTCCTTAACAAGAAATTAATTTTTCAGAGGTTTCTGAACATTTTGGCATACCTTAGAAAGAAATGATTGTGTGTGTGAATGCGTGGATACAATTTTTTGTCGACGATTTTGGGAGTACTGCGCAACCGATTTGAATGATTCAAAAAGCTTTCGACTCCTAAGGAGACGTTATAATTAGTTTTTGGCACTAGTTGGTCCTACATTACAATGTATACTACATTATAAGTTAAAATAAATCTAAAGAATCGTTTTAAGTATTTTTTTTGTGTAGTTTGAGTAAAGCGTATACATCAGTCATCATACTAAAATTTCTTTACAATTATTATACGTGACAAAATTCATTTCTGACTTTGACACAAAACAATTTACAGCCTAACTGTAAATTCTATACAGTCATAATTTATTTAGAATTTTAATATCCACATATTTTTGCGAACACATTTTGCAAAATTAAAGTACTAAAATACTATGTAAGTTTTACGATTGTAGAGAAGAATGCGAAATTTTACGATTTTAGACTTGACTATATCTTTTTGAAAAATCTTGGATTTATTTATAAATTATTTTTTAGTCTAATTTAATTTTTTTATTCATATAACAATAGCTTTTAAGGTAATATTGCATTTTGAGGAAGTAGAAAAAATATTATAGCAATGACATTTTATCGTGCTTTGACCTCTGTTTACAAAAATATTAATTATTTAACGAATGATTTATTTTCAATATTATAAGGTTAAATTTTTTAATTCAAAATTTTACCAGTAAACAATTTGAATATTTGATCGATCTTTATATATTGCAAAGCTAAAATAAAGTCAAAATGAATCAAAAGCAAAAAATTATAGAAAGTATTGGACTATAAAAAACAATTTAGCAAGTCTTTTGCAAGATTAGTACCTTCTGTTTTATTTTTCGGATTTAACGTAGTTTTGGTGTTGTTTTGGTTAATTTTTAAAAAATATGCAATTGTGACGTCATGTCAAAATCACATTAGAATCACATTAGAATCACGTTGGAATCACGTTGGAATCACGTTACCGATAAATTTGTCCAAGTCATTGTCGATTTTATATTGACCTATGTTTATGATCCATTTATTGTCTTTTTAAGGTAATTAATCACACATATAAGTTAATTATATTTTTTTTAAATTCATTATTATATTTCCTTAAAAATCATTCAAGATGCTATGAAATCTTATACATGAAAAAAGAGGAAGAATTGTTAGAAGAAAAATAATAATTTAGAATTCACTCCATGGTTAAAATATCTAGTTTTGTCCTGTTTTGAAACTAATTTTTGTCAGAGCTCCAAAGACAATTATTTCTAGAATTTTTCTATCTTTGCATAATATTTCATTACCTCTAATGAATCATAATATAGATTTTATCGATAAATTTTTACGTCACACAATGAATGTAGAGTTTCCAAAAAAAGCAGATAAAACTGCTCTTTATCTTTTTGACCAGTACAAGTTTGTTTTTATGAAGGTTTCTTATCTAAAACCCACATAATGACAAAATTATGTTAATCAGTCATTATTTAAAAATTAAGTTTACTGTAGAATTTTTGTATGGGAAATAAATTTATTTGCAATTTTTGGTATAAGAAAAAACTGCTAAATTTGTAGGATTATTTTGAAACACTTTTAATATTTAGATAGATAAAATTAATATCAAAATTTAATTAAGATATAATTTAGTACATTAATAAAAGGCGAATCACTAGGTTTTTCTTTTAAACTCTATGTTATTTGTCAAATTAATTATTCAATGTCTTTCTATGTAGACAGATTGTAATTTATAAAAAAATTAAAAAAAAGATAGAAATATTTTGTAGAAAGTATTATTCATATATAGGTATTTATTCATTTGTTTATTTAATTTTTAACCGAAAACTTAATTTATCAGAAATACATGTAATCAATCATTGTAATAATATTTTTATATATAAAATAGTTTTTGATCAACTTTATTTTAATATGAGGAAACTTATTCAAAATATTTTTTCTAGTATTTATTTGAACTAATGAATAAATATTATTTATATATTTACTGACTAAATAATTTTTCGTAATTCATATAATCTTATAAATTTCATATGAATTTTAAATCTGTACTACCTTTATCATTTTTTGTCCACAAAACTTTTTAATTTTCTTAACAAAACTTTTGTTTTTAACTTTTTTGTAAAGGTTTTGATTTTTACTAAATTTTATAATACTTATAATTTTGTTAAAGCAGTCGTTTTTTTTAAATATTTTTGTTATATTTATATATGAATATAACAATTTCACTGTAAATTAGTATTAATTCTCATTTTGTTTTAATTTTAATATTTTTACAAACACTTTTAAGTATTTCGTATTTTTATTTTTTTAAATCATTATTTAAAATAGTTAATCCATTATTCAATTAATATTTTTTATTATTAATTAGGTTTAAATTTTATTATTTATTTAAATAGTTATATTTACACATGTAACTTATAGGTTCTGATTGATTATTTTAAACAATATTAAAATTTCACATATTTAAACAATTTTATTTAGGTAAGATTATTATTATATATCTATACACCAATGTTTGATTTATTTAACAAAAAAATTACATTTAAAAAAAATTAAAAAATTATATTAATTATTTTTAACAATCAGTTTCGATTTGATGCAAAGACTAAACAAATCATTTTCAAATGCGTATATAAAAAAACCTAATCATGTTACGTGATCAATGATAAATAAATTAATACCATCATATTAAAAGTCATTATTGCAATAATACCGTATAATAAAAATCAATAAAACATAATCAATATTTTATTTAAATTATTAACTTGACTTGGTTATCGATTAGAAAAAAAAATCCATCAGGTTGTCGACCGAATGCTAAATTTATGTTGGGAATTATTCAAATTTTCCGCAATTTCATTTGGTATGATTAAATTTGATATATTTTATCCATTTATAATGGAAATAATTCGAACCAATATATATTCATGTCAAATTATCGAAATTTATTGCTTCGAAAATTTATGGCTCGAGTGATAGATTTATGAATAGACTTAGATTATTATATAAGGACATTATAAAATCTTTTGCATTTTTTTTATAATTTTATCTTGTACTTAATTGAAGTATATTAAATTTTTAAATTGGAAAACATTTACTGCAAATTTATTATTAATATGGTACATAAGTTTTTTTGCATTTTTTTATAATTTTATCGTGTACTTAATTTGCATATATTAAATTTTTGCATTAGCAAACTTTTACTGCAAATTTATTCTTAATATTTAATAAATCTACACTTGAGTAACTTTGTGCAAATGAGCATGTAAAAGTATTTCAGAGATTTTTTAAAAATATTTTTTTATAATCTAACTGTTAAATAAATAATATTTGTGTGTGTAATTTTGGGCTGGATCATTTTTTTCGTAATTTTTGCTTTAGTCAAGATTTCTAAAATTTTAGTATGAAGTTTATATATAAGTATGATGACGTTTTAAATCCATTACTATTCTATTATTAATTATCATTTCTCCTATGATTGATTAGCATTGAATGTGTTAATAATTATTTAAATCAATGATTTTATAAATTATGCCATCGATATTTCTTTCCTAGGTCAGTTGTGTAATATAAATGGAATTTACATTATTAATATGGAATATTTAGAATTGTGCATGTGCGACCACTCCTTTTAATAATATGGTACAAATTATATGAATAGTCTGGGAAATGGTAGTAAAAGTCATTTATTATTTATAATAGGATAAACATAAAAACTTAAATATTTTTGAAAACTGTTAGTGAAATCGTATAACCTACCCCTATTAGACCTATTAAATTCATTAGCCAGGTATTATATTAGTATTATATAATTCGTTACTAATTGAAATTCTGGTTTTGTGTCATTAAAAAAATAACATAATACTCTTAGGTATGCTATTTAAAAAATTACAGTCTTATTGTTGGTAATTAAAAATCAATTAAATAAATTCATTTTGACAATTTTTAGGATCTAAAATAAAATAAGAAATTTTAATGTTTAATTTAAAATTAAAATAAAAAAGTTATAATCATAGTCAAAAATGTTCTTCGTCAACAAGAATATATTCTGTTCTTTTGTTTAATTATTTCAACATACACCAAGTATTTGCAATTTAAATTGGAATCCCAGTACT